GGTACAAAAAAAATTTCTTCTTTTTGCCCTTCGTAGTTTGAACTGGGATCAAAACATAAGGCTACCTTCCCATCAGAGTAGATTACTATTGCTTAATTTACCTACCCTTGCAAATCGTAGAACAATGCTTGGTACTATTTTTATGCAAAATCTTATAAGAGGTGATATTGATTCTATAGAACTTGTAAGCCGCCTAACTTTCAATGTTCCTATTAGACTAACACGAAATTATTATCCCCTAAATTTGCCACGATGTACATCTAATTTTTGTCTGCACGAGCCCTTTCGCGTTCTATGTAATAATTATAACAACCTTTATCATTTAATTTGCACTTCAACTTCTATCCCGGTATTAAAAACTAATATTTTAACTCATTTGCTTCATTCTTAGATGCTTCTTTTATTTTCATTTGTGTCCCGTCTCTATTTGTTTTTTGTATCTTCCTCGCGAACTCGTATTTTTTGCCCAAATTGATAAAAGGGCCCCGCGCGTAACAAGCACGTGCTTGGTGTCGTTGGGCCACTTGTTTGTTCTGCTCGTAGTGCATCAACGTCCATCATATATATAATTTCCTTTTTAAAGTAACAAGCTGTGTCGCCCGTGTCTGTTAAAATGTTGAACTCCGTTAAACTCCCCTGCAGGGGCCTGATCTAAAAAATGATCTTCATTAATATTATTTAATCTTGTTAACTTACTAGGAGGCTGATTAACTATTCCATACGGTTTTTTTCTTGAGCTTGAGTTTGCTCCCTGGTTTGGTTTGTACGATAATAGATTAAACGATTATTGTTTTGGTAATAGTTATTATTATATCTGCCTCAATTTTTATTTGCCTGTCAATTATGACTGATTTATTTTGAATTTGGAGCGATGGATCAACTTCCATTGGCTCGATAGTTTCTTAATTTTCATTGTTATTCTGATTATTGTTTTGCAAAAACTCAGGTTTTTTGTCCAAATATTATTTTGATTATACTTACAATTATATTCCGTTCCCTTAGTATTATTATTTTGCTTGGAATTTGAGAAATTGATAATTACTGCCATCGAAAACAGTACCGTATTGCTCAGCAGTTAAAGGATGTATTTTGGAGACGTTGGATAAGAGAGTTCCTTCCATCTTTAACGAAGCGCACCAAATGGTTTGCACCAACCAAGCCAATTCAAATCGGAGTAAAAAATTGTTTTTAACAATTGACGCATCAGACGTAGCCATCGGGGCAGTACTAACACAAGATAATAAACCAATTAAGTTTATTTTTTAAACATTAAATAAAACGGAACAACTCTATGCCACAAATAAATAAGAATTGTTAGCTATAGTATGGCCTTTAAAAAATCTCGGAAATGATTGATATGAAATAATTGGCATAGAAACACAAACGCACCATCAATCCTTACCAAACATAGAAATGAAAAGATGGTATTCTTTTATTGAAAGTTTTACCCCAAAAATAATATACAAGCCCGGAACAAAAGGTGTTGTAGCCGATGCATTATCGCGAGTACAAATAAATAATATTACAAACAGCGATATAGGCGTTTTTGAACAGTCAAACTCAGATCAAGACACACAGCGATCTGTTGAAAGTAGTTTTAAAAATGTAATACAAGGGGCCCGTAAACCTTGTTTATTTCATTAATCTGACCAATTTTTGAGTACTGCCCTCCTGTTTGGAGTCCCCAATATGGGGTGCATATAGACCGGATTGAGTCTGTGCAAAAAAACTTCTTAATATTTGCCTTACGGAGACTTAACTGTGATACAAGCCTAATACTTTTATCATACTCTAGTAGAGTACTTCTAATTAACTTAGCACTGTTAGCTAACCGTAGAACTACGCTTTGTATTACGTTTATTAGAAATCTTATTCATGGTGATGTAGAGAGTCCCGAGTTACTGGGTCGCCTGCATTTTAATGTGCCAAATAGATTCACTAGAAACTATAGTCCTTTAGTATTAAATCACTGTAAATTGAATTATGCCTATTCCTATTGAGGGATTCCGATGGCAATATTATATAAGATGCAAGTACTAATATTCGGAGCTACATGTTCACCTTGCTGTGCGCAGTATGTAAAAAATCAAAATGCTTTAAATGCCACGAACAGGAAAAAAGCTGTTATTAAGGCCATACAAGAAAATCATTATGTAGTTGATTTTGTAGTAAGCTTCGACAATGAAAAGGATGCATACGAGATAAGCAGTGAAGTAAAAAACGTCCACAAATTAGCCAATTTTGATTTGAGAGGTTTCGTATCAAATTCATCGAATATCCAAAATACGCTAAAGGGTTCAGACAGCTCTCCAGACATTACAATTCCTCCATCAGTAAAGCTCGATTCCAGTTCCGTCGATAAAATCCTAGGTATGTTTTGGGATAGTGGAAAGGATGCATTCTTGTTCGATATTAAAATAAACAGAGTTGATAAGGAAATGAAGCAAGGAATAAAAGTTCCAAATAAGACACAGTGTACGACCCGTTTGGTATGCTGGCTGATTTTATGATAATTGGCAAAGTTTAAATGCAGGATATCTGGCGCACAGGAATTACTTGGAATGACTAGTCGACGATAATATATATAAGCGCTTCAAGGAATGGATCGGTCAATTGGTTAGAGTGACGCATTTTCAAATTAGTCGTTGCTATTGTCCAAAGTTCTTAGATTCAAGTATCACAAAGGAACTTCACTCATTCGTCGACGCAAAAAAAAATGTAATACAAGAGACCAGTAAACCGTTTAGTCAATTTAAACAAAAATTGTTATTAACAACGGGGAGTCACTAGAAATTTTTGACAAGACAAGAAATATAATCGAAAATGAAACAGTTGAGAACTTAGTAACCATATTAAGAGAGTATCTTCCACCTAACATAACGGTTGGAATTCATTGTAGCATAGAAGATTTATATCATATTCAAGTTGAAAAATTTTTTCTTAAGCGAATATTTCTACAAGCCAAAGATAGAGCTATAATAATAGAGGAAACACACAGTCGACCTCATAGGAGACTAGACGAAAATTATAAAGAAATCATTAAATTATATTATTGGCCCAATCAATATATAAAACTAAAAGAATACATACAAAATTGTAAATTTTCAATGAGAACAAATATAACAGACACCCCATTAAAATTCTAATTGGAGAAGCCTCAATACCAACTAAAAAAGGAGAAAACTTACACAATGACATATACTATGCGCAAATTTTAACTTTTATAACTTGTATTGACGCGTACTCTAAATTCCTAGTAGTTAAAGAAATTCGAAATAAATTAAATATCGAAAATAATGTAATAGAACTACTTCAACAATTTTCCCAAGCCAAAGTACTATTGACAGATAATGAACCGAGCTTTACATCGGCCCAATTTAAATCTTTTGCCAAAAGGTTTGGGTTAACTTAACACTAAGGAGATCCAAGGCCCAGTAACGCAAACGGACGGGTTGAAATGGCGCATTCGACACTAACAGAATTAGCACGCTGCATAAAAAAAGAATTTAATCTAACCGATTATTCTGAAATTGTAATTAGAGCAGCTCAGGAATATAATCAGAGTATTCACTCCACAACAACCCAGAAACCTTTTAACATTCTTAATACAATCGAACACCAAAATATTCCTCAGAAATAATTGATTACTCGAACCATGAACTTTTTCTGTTCAAAGACAACAAGGATGTTCTTACCTATAAATCGTACAACGATTTATTCCATGTAACTAATTTAAGTTTTTATAAAGAAAGAAAGAATAATAAATATAGAATCAGATAATATAAAAAGGGATTCAAATAAACGGTCACAATGAGAAAATAAATACGACATAGAAGTAATCGAATTAATTTTATCCTACTTAATATCAGCTAGATCAAAGAGAGTAATAAATGAGAATTTAATTGATACTATTACCCTTGCAAAAATTGGTGTTTTTAATACAACAATTTTAAACAATGAAGATATTAAAGAAGTATTAAAACACGAACAAATGCCAGTAATTATCGCTGACTTAATGGATATCTCTGTATACAAAATCGCACTTACATAAAGAACTATTAATAATTTATAAAAAATACCCAATAATAAAAACAGATGCGAAATATTTTACGCCCGATCCATTTCCCAATGCGATGCAAAATGCTCAAATGCAAATAAGGAAATGTCTACTCTTAAGAAAGAACTCTTTAATAATTATTGCACTTTATTTTTAGAAAAACTTGTCTTATCCGATAATTAAACGGTTATAAATCAATTTGTAAAAAAATAAGAGGGAAAAACCAAAAATTTGACATTATCGAAGATGGTGTCATTTTTATATACCAATTTAGAGAATAAAATTCTTAACTACATAAATACAAACCATTTCCAAAATTATGAATTATCTGATTATATATTATCAAATAACTCGGGACTCTCTTTGGATAACAAACATTTTAAATCCATTCATTAAAATTAATAATACTAAAATATTATTTTATTTTTATTTTTATGTCTCACTAACTCACCGTCTCACCGACTTAACGGTACACTGACCCGCGAATGCAGTCAGCACATTTTGCAGTGTCAGCCGAGCCAACTACGCAAACTGCTACCATAATCCAAATTCCCTGACCTACTCTAGAATGTAGCTTTTTTCACTAATCATTACAGTAAACTTCCGTGTTCCAAGTATTATATAAACAGGTTGTAGGGGTTTGAAATTATCAGGAAAAGATTCTTGTATTTTTCTTAAATATAAAATAGCGCTACTGGTTCCGCAACCTGGTGGCAACCACACATCCTAGAAAATACTAAACGATAATTTCGTATTTTTTAACACTGCTTGTCAGAGGGCTTGCACCCGCCATTTGCGTTTTTTCGTTCTCTTATTTCTGATCTTTCGGCCAAAGCACACGCGTTTTAAATCAAATCGAATTTTGCAAAGAAGTGCTAAGTCCACGTGTGTATATATATATGCACCATATCGGGCTTAAAAACCGCCCAACATGACAAAAGACTAATAAGTAAACCACCACAAAGCTATTTCCAAACGCCCAAAGTGGCTGGCGTAATTTAGCTGGCACCGATCGCAACATCCAACTTATAGTTGAAAAACTAATTAGGTGAGCATAGGGAATTTAATATTTTTCAATAATTGTGTACTAATGGATAAACGAAAGTAGGAGTGCGCAGCGCTATTTGATCAAATCGCCTGGTGCTCGTTTTGGCCCACTCTGGCTGCCAACACGTGGAGCGGGACTACTCGAGCCGAGCCACATACAGTTTACCAGTGCAAATTTAAGTTTCGAGCCAAGCTTTCCAACCGTTGTAAGACGAAGGAAAACTTAAGGTACATAAAAGTAAACCCAGCCTTGACCAGTTAGTTATTATGTTTGCCGTTCCTAGATTGATACACGTGTTGTTCGCCATATTCTCCTGACCAGTTGCGAGTAACCTAACCCCGGACTGATGGTTAGCCATCGACACGTCCAACACGAGCGTATCGCGGATAAGCAGACACCCGGGACTCTTGTTCTAGCTGTTGAATCTGCCGCCTCGCAGCTAAGGATTCACTCCCGATCTCGGCAGCCGATCTGACTGTTGCAACGCTTTTGTAGTTTTTAGAATAGATTTAAATTTTATAGAAATTAAGCTTATTACACGGGTACAGTATGTATATTTGGACTTAGATTGACTGTTAACTAATAATATTTTGTAGTTCACTCAGCATACACACATCCTCGTTTACACACACCGTCCACAGGCCTGTCGACTGCATTGGAAACAGATTTAAAGTATTCATGTTGTAAGTACGGCATAGCCGACCGTCTGTTAACAACAATCTGAGCCAAGTAATATAACTATAGAATAACTATAGATTCAAGTTTCGACACCCGTGCTATTTTGTTGAAGACTACCTTTTTTCTTTTTAAAACTTAATTGTTAACGTAAATTTTTGAATGAAGAACATAAATGAAGTCATTTGTACTCATTATATGGTTAATCTGCCATGGGCAAGCTAACGTTAAGAAAATCATAAGCAGCCGCCATGGGCAACTTATCTTTAATTGAATTTTGGTACGTATTTGAGAATGAAGTATAAAATGAAGTGAATTTGTTTGCGAATTGGGACACCTGAAGTAACTGTGCATCAGTAATAAGGGCATTGGCCACATACGCAAAGCGAGCCTATGCAAGGTTGGGTGGGTTTTTGAAGAGGAATTAAAGGACATCTACAATTCCTCACACTTAGTATAAAATTAGATTCTTTGAGCTTTGGTTTAGTTATTCAATAGATCCGTACTCTGTCTACTATTTAAGGTTATGTGACGACGCGGTTCTCTGGGTAGCAAAACCCCACTCCCATTTTCCCTGAGCCCAGCCGACCCTGTAGGCAGGGTACGCTGCCAGATAGCCGCACACATTGCCGTGTTCGTTACACATTCTTTGGCGCCCAACGTGGGGCGATCGGAAATCAGGAAAATACCGTATCTTGAGAAGATAACAGAGTTAATTTTTCGTGTCGCTTCCCAATGCAATATTCTAAAGTAAAATCCCATTTTTTTTGTATAGTTTCCTAATTTGAGCCTTAATGTGATACTTTGGAATTCAGACATCGCGCGTTCTTGCAGGTGCTGAACCTAGATTATGTTATCGCTCAATCCTAATTCCCATATCAACAATAAATGAATTGCTTCAGAATGTGAGATTTGGGGAAAAGCTCGAATTCGCACCAAGCAACATTATTCTTTTATTAATCAAATTTGATACACCTAAGAAAAGTCATTAGAGATTTACTTTGTTGGAAATTTCTAGCAAGTACTCATGATTATATTTTTAGAGATCAAACATTAAGTCATTACTGCTTTGAGATTTGTTTAGCTGAATAGTTTTTGGAAAGACACTCAGCAGTAGTGCACTTGCTTTCTAATATTAAAAGTCTTTTGCTCAACAGAAACCCTAATTATACCCGTTACTCGTAGAGTAAAAGGGTATACTAGATTCGTCGGAAAGTATGTAACAGGCAGAAGGAAGCGTTTCCGACCCCATAAAGTATATATATTCTTGATCAGGATCACTAGCCGAGTCGATCTAGCCATGTCCGTCTGTCCGTCTGTCCGTCTGACCGTCTGTCCGTCTGTCCGTCTGTCCGTCTGTCTGTCCGTCCGGATGAACGCTGAGATCTCGGAAACTATGAGAGCTAGGCTATTGAGATTTGGCGTACAGATTCCTGAGCTTCTTACGCAGCGCAAGTTTGTTTCAGTAGACTGCCACGCCCACTCTAACGCCCACAAACCGCCCAAAACTGTAACTCCTACAGTTTTGATGCTAGATAGAAAATTTTAACTGAAATGTATTGTTCTCATCAAAACCTATCGATTGACCTAAAAAAAAGTTTGCCACGCCCACTTAAACGCCCACAAACAGCGAAAACCTGTGACGCCCGCAATTTGCATGCTAGATAAAAAATTTTAACTGAAATGTATTGGTGTCGTCAATACCTATCGATTGATCCAAAATAACTGCCACGCCCACTCTAACGCCCATAACGCTTAAATCTGTCTACCGCCGGTAGGTGGCGCATTTTAATTTCGCTTTGCTGCTTGCATATCTCCATTTCCCTTTGAGTAACGGGTATCTGATAGTCGAGGTACTCGACTATAGCGTTCTTCCTTGTTTTATATTAATATTCATTTGATGCACGGTAATTAAAGGATAGTCCCAATTTTAAATCAGAGTTTTTTATATTTACAATATTTGAGAAATTATTATAATACTACAACATGTCAGTTCAGCCTAATCGAGACGAGGTTGCAGTCACCGATAGTGGAGATGAACGTTCTCTTTGTATTATTTGCAATGATACTATGGTAATAGATACTGAACTTGCAGAAACCCCTTGTAGACATAAATTTCACAGAACATGCGTGGTACTGTGGTTAGGAACTAATGAAACTTGTCCGCTTTGCCGAAGTGCTTGTACACTGGTACAACTGATAACCTTTCCTGCTGCTCAACCGAATAGGTCTACTAATGATACTAATAGGGAAGTTCGAGGTGCTTCTGCCAATCAAGCTACTGGTGCCGTTAACCGAACTAGACCAAACACAAGAGCGAATTCCCATCAAAACTCAACGAATCAGAGAGCACACTCTAGCTTGAGAAGCCAAAACACAACACATAGATCAACTGAACGTTCTAGCATTTCCGAAACTCGAGTACAGCAGTTAATCACAGACTCCTTAGAAACCTTTCGCGTTAGCATGGTTGCAGCAGTAGCGGATGAGATCAGTAATACGATGCGAAACCTTCAGTTGGCTAATAATTCCCAAAATCTGCGAAATAATATCCCTGTAGAATATTCTGGTAACTTAAACCGATCCAATGCAAGCAGAGTTGATAGTAATCAAGGCTCTAGTATACGATTGCCTTCAGGTGATCCTTTGACACAAGCCGTATATCGTCCTGACAAAGTTTCAAGCGTTATTTCTAATTGGAATGTGAAATTTACTGGCATGGCAAATGACATGCCTGTTGAAGACTTCATCTATAGGATAAATAGGTTGACTATACAATGTCTAAACGCAAACTGGAATTTGCTATACCAATTTGCCAACGTACTATTTTCCGGACCAGCTTTACAATTTTACTGGCGTTTCCAGAGAACTTCAAGTGAACCGAATTGGTTTCACCTGTGTACAAGTCTCCGTGAACGGTATAGAGAACAGCGCACTGACGAAGAGATTAAAGACTCTCTTCGACATAAGAAGCAGAAAAGCGGAGAAAATTTTGACGATTTTCTAGATGCTATCCTAACGATTGCAGATGCTTTGCGTGAGCCTATGTCCGACAGTGAACTAGTTACCAACGTTAAAAAGAACCTTAAACCTGAATTACGACTAGAATTATTACATGTTTTGACCCCAAACATTGCCTCCTTAAGAGCAGAGTGCCACAAACACGAACGATTTCTCATTAGCATGGCAGGTAGATCGGCAGCCCGGCCTCCTCCAAACCGGCGATTTGTAAATGAGCTAGTGCAGGTTGAAGAGCCTAGGGAAGAAGAGAATTCTCAAACATTGAACGACGTAGAAATAAATGCGATGCGCAATGCTGAGCGTTATAAATGTTGGAATTGTGAGGAAACCGGACACAGATATCATGATTGCCTCAAAGCCAGACGCATATTTTGCTATGGGTGTGGTCGTCTTGACACTTACAAGCCTAGTTGCTTGAAATGTAACCCCCCGTCGGAAAACTCGTAAGAGGATGTCCATCAATTCTGACTGGTGGATATCCTGTTTCAAACTCAGCATCAATAGTAGGTATTAATCATCTTCCATCTTCTAATTTAAGTAACTCTCAACCTGACTCGACAACATATAACCCAGAATTAGACAAACCCAACTGTATTTTAATTAAAAACACTACAGAGCCGTCACGAAACTTTAAAATTATCCCCTACCATGAAAGAGTACGTAACTATTATCAACGCAGAGCGGAAATATTTACACTACGAATTAATTCCGCCAACAAATCTCGATCGGCTAATCGAATGTGTTCATTTTGGAACAGCAGCGAAAAATGAAGAAATATGTCGTATCCACTATTGTTAGGCAGGACAATGACAACCGTCCTTACATCGCTTTGGAATTATTTAACAAAACCTTCTTGGCCTTGCTTGATAGTGGAGCTAACAAATGCGTAGTAGGTGGTAAATTGGCTAAGCTTATTCCTACAGATCATCCAGGATTAAGGAAGTTAAAATGTTATGTTCGTGCAGCCGACGGACAAAATCAAAACGTCACCGCTACCATTGTCGTTCCGATTCACTATAACTCCTTATCTCAGGATGTAGAATTTTTAATAGTACCCAGTATTAAACAAGATATAATCTGCGGAATGGATTTTTGGAAACTATTTGGTCTTCGAATATCCAGTCCAACGACTATTTCCGAAATTTCTGACTCCAATGATTTAAGTGACACAGTCTTGCTTAATGCAACCGACCGAAACCGATTACAAGCTGTTATCGAATTCTTTCCATCGTCTGAAAAAAGTGGTTTAGGTAAAACAACCCTAATTGAACATCATATTGACACCGGTGCAGCAAAAGCAATTAAGCAAAGATATTACAACCTATCTCCAGCCAAAGAGCTTCAGTTATGCCAAGAAGTAGACCGCATGATTAGTCTGGGAGTACTAGAAGAAGCGCCCGCGTCCTCATGGTCTTCTCCGGCAGTCTTGGTCGTAAAACCAGGCAAAGTGAGAATTTGCTTAGATTCTAGGAAGCTTAATTCTGTTACAGTAAAGGATGCTTATCCTACTCCTCTTATTGAAGGTTTACTAAGTCGCTTACCTCCAGTACACTGCATATCGAAAATTGATTTAAAAGATGCGTTTTGGCAGATATGTCTAGACGAAGAATCGAAACCAAAAACCGCAATAACTATACCCAACCGTCCTTTATATCAATTTACACGAATGCCTTTCTGAC